TACAAAATTTTTGCACATGTTAATAATAAAAATAAAATGTCTTACCTGTCATAATAAATTCTGGATATTTATGTCAATCACTGTACTTCACGCAGATTATGAAATCTGCAACCCATATAAGAATTATGACCTATTAAATTAACTAATTTAGAAATTACAAGTATATCATTTATCTATAGAAGACATATATATATAAAGTAAAATGGCTATTTGTAAATTTGTCATAAAATTGAACTTTTACTATGTTAAATATACATATATATATATATATTTAGTCTTTCAGTTAAATATTAAGAATATAATAATTTTTTATATATCTTCAATTTGTTTACTATAGGTACAAAAACTGTTCATATTATTAGAAGCTTTGGATTCAAAAATAATTATATTAATTAAAAGATTCTGTTTTTTAACATGAAGATGAGAGGATAAATTATAATTGATAAATACAATAACTCAATAATCATTATATTTTGTTGAAAAAATCTGATATTTATCAAGAGATCTTGTTAATACAAGATCTTATGAATCTGAAAAAAGTCTATTAAATAAATATTACTTATAAAGTGATTCATCAAAAATATCTTTATAGAGACCAGATATTATTTGATAAGTTGACTAATAGAATATAAGTTATATATATTTATAATTGTCAAATTATAATTTGAGTCTTTTAATCAAGAAAAAATAATTTATATCTTTTTGAGACTGATTTTGTTTGCTTTCTTCAAGGTAAAATTATGGCTTATTACAACTAGAATATTATATTAGATCAGAAAATATTAATATAAATACAATATATAAGTTTATATTATATGAACCAGAATGACTTGAATCATTATATATTTGGTTATAAACTTCTTTGCTTGATATAATATAATTATTCTTACTCAAAAATCTTCATGATTTTTGAATAGTCTTGATCTGATATATTAAATTCTTGTATTTTTAATTTTAAAGATCATAGTTTTCCAATTATTTCATCTAATATAAATTCATATTTATCTGAAAATAAAATAATTTAATTTAATTTATGAGAATAAAAATATATTTTGATTATATATCTTCTTTATTAGAAGTTTTTCTTCAATTTATTATTTTTAGCTAAAATATCATCAAGTTCAGAATTATAATTATTCAAAATTTATATCAAAATTCATATTATCACTTTGATTCAGTTTATTTTGGATATCTGAATTATTATTAAAATTTTATTCAGATTATTCATTAGAAAAATTTTCATATTACTATGAAAAAATTAGTTTTAAAAATACAGATAAACAGATTTTATCTTCAATTAATGAAGAAAATATATATGTATTATTATTTAATAAACTAAAAAAATTAATATAATTAGTAAATATGAATAATTATTATAATATTATATTTTATTTATTTATTATATTTATTAATAATATTATTTGTTTTACTTTTATATTTTATATATATCAGTTTGCATCTTTTTTTAATGATTTTTTTGTATATTAGTTTTTTATTTGAATTAAAATTTAAATATTCAAAATATTTACAAATATATTAAGCTCATTTACTTATTCTGTTTTAAAGATAAATTATATTATTTATATCTTATCAATTTTTATCAAGTTTTATATTAATACAAATAATTTAATTATATATAATTAGTAATAAATAAATATAAATTATATATTTGAGATCTATTAGCTATTATCTAAAATATTAATCTTAATTATAGTAAATGAAAATTTTTATTAGAATGTAAAATCATGTTAAGTATACTTATTAAAACTATTATACTAATTATTTTTTATGTAAAAAATTATTATACATATTATAAATATATTTTTGTATTTTTAAAACAATTTAATAAATATATAAATAAATTGAAAAAAATTGATTTTTATTTTTTATTCTTTCAAAATTCTTTCAAAATTATCTGTTAAAATTCAAACTGTTAGATTTAATTATATTTCTTTCTGATATTAAAACAAATATTAATTTATCACAAACTTTTGCTTCAAGTATACATGCTCAAAATACTTTAATACAAAAACCAAAATATAACTCTAATGGAAAATAGTTAACAAAGATTAATATTATATAATATACTAATATTAATCAAAAAATTATTCTTGCACTAAAAGTATTTATATTTTAATTATTTTTCTTTTATAAAACAAGTCTAATATATAACTTTTTTAATAGGATTTTTTGAAAATCCTTCTAAGCTTTAGTGAATATTGAACAAAGACCAGAGTATTTTTAATTTCTAAGAATATTAAGCAAAATTAGTATGAAACAGCTGCAAAGTATTTTCCATATTTTAATAATTATGCTGGATATTGATCTTTTAAAAAGTATTATACCAGCATATGGAAGGCAGAGATAATTTTAATTTTATATTTTGATTAAATATTTGCTATTTTATAAGCTTATTTTTTAAATAGCATATTACAAGAAATATTATATAGTCGAGAAGGAAGACTCTGCACACTATTGGAAAGAAAAAGCAAAAATGAAAGGACAAGTTATTTAAAAAAAGATATAATATTCCAAAAATCTTCCAGATGAAGTTGATAAAGTACTAACATTAACCAAAGACAATACAAAAGATAATGATGATGACATTTAGGATAATTATAATATTTCTATTTATATAATTAATTTCATTACTGTTAATATGGCATTAGAAATAACTATATTAATAATGATTTTTTATCAAGTTGCCATCAATGAAATTGATAAAGAAATAGCTCATTTGCAAGCTTTAAAAAAGTGCAATACCAAAAATCTTCCCAAAAAACATAATCTGAGTAGGTATATGATG